GATTGACTTTGATTTAAAACAAAACCTATTGGAATTATACAAGTAACTTCAATTCTATTTGTAGAAAGTAGTCTTAGGGCTACTTTGGAGGAGATGTTTTAGCAGCATTGATATGTATGTTAGCATTTGGAAAACATAAAAACATGATAAAAGGTTTGGGTTATGGAAGCAATGTTTATATTGGATGGCAACATCACTATGAAACTTGATGTTTGTTTGTCCCTGTTCTTTTTATTCCTCTAAACTCTGCACTCCCACCCTGATTTCTTTGCTGTACAAGACACCTCTTACCTAGTGCCATTCTGTGTTTATTGCTTTCCTCCAACATGTTCCCTCTTTGGAAAATATTCCATTTCCTTTCTCCTTTCTTTATTTTTTTTTCTCAGAATATTCAAAACTTTATTGTTTTGTGCCCTTTTCCCCTCAGGAATGTCCACTCCCTCCAAAAATAGTTAAAATGAATGAATATAGCTTTCTGCATTAGCAGATGTTACGAAGTTTATATCTTATTTCACATACACTATCAACTGTTTACTTGAAATACACTTAAACTTTTGGAACTGTACTGGCATTGGTACATTGATCCAAAGGAAGGTTCAAATAGTTGGTTCTAATCAGTCTCTGCGAATAAAGAAAAGGGGGGAGAGAACATTCCAGACCTTTTCCATAGGCGTGGGGCAAGTCTTTCAGAACTCTCAACCTCAGATTTTTAAACCAATATTGCTATAAAGTAACTATAGAGATGTCCCCATAAAAACCATACTCATATCAATTTCAGAGAAGCATTCTTACTTGGTACCAGGTAACTTCTGGACTTTGTGTATCATTCAGACAGTTAAGAGTGGGACAAGAAATTGAAGCAATGCTACCAAGAAGAAGCTCTTGCTCATGTCCAGGGCCTGAGCAGGATGTATTTTGGGGGGACTTGACTTCTAAGACCATCTTGATACAACAGGCATCATCCTGTGGGTTCCTAGGAGAATTAACAAGGTCCAGTGAGCACAGAAATTGCGTCCCAATTAATAAAGGACTTGAGAATGTTTGCAGATAAGAATGAATTTTGGATATACCTAATCCTGGGTCTACAAATATATGACCCAGCATCACTGATCCTTATGGTGGAAAAATGAAGAGCACTCTTGATGTAAGGGTGGTCTTTAGTAACTTCCCGTAATGGGTATCCATTTGGAGGTTGTAAGTACCATTGGACATCAGATAGATCTTTACTACCATTGCAGGGCACATGTTCAGGGACTTGTGTTGGTGATAATTGACTTCTGTGGAAGAAATGGGATTTCTGGAGCCCTGGTAAATTGCAAAATAAGAGAAATTCCTCCTCACTTCTTGCATGGTATGTCCAAATGGGTTTTTCAGTAGAGCAATCTGAAAACCACAAACAAATCAAATAACACAGAAATGAATTCAAAGGTAAAATTCTAAGTTGCTTCTACAATAGGATTTGGCTTAACAACAGACTCATAATTCCTTGTGTGTACCTACTTTGTAAAGGAAATAAAGCTCTTGTCTGAACTCCTTCCCAGTAGCCTATAGCATTGCCACCACCAGCAGAGGTTTTCTATAAAGATGGCTGAACCACTGTTTATTCCTGTTCCTCTGCTGCCACTGAAAGTCCAGCCATGGCAACTCATTTGTATATCCATCCTTGATGTCAGCTAAAAACATTCCCACAGTAATTTCTCAAGGAGCCCTGGTGGTGCTATGGGTAGAAGTTGAACTGCTAACTGCAAGATCAATGGTTCAAACTCATCAGCTACTCCATAGGAGAAAGATTAGGCTGTTGGTTCATATAAAGATTTCTAATCTCAGAAAGCCTACATGAGTTGGAATCGACTCACTGAATCAGAATCTACTCAATGGCAGTAGGTGGGTTTACTTCCATTTTGACAATAGGAAGGAAATGTGTGTTAACATATCATGTGGCTCATATATCAGATTATCTGTCACTTTAAACATTAACCACAAAACTCCAAGTTTAATAAGAAAAGTGAAAACACCTACCTGAAATGTGAAATCCTTTCATTCTCTCTCTTGAGATCATCCAAAGAAATATCCAGCCCAAATAAAGCATTATTCTCCCTTGGTCTTTTCATTGCTTCAATAAGTATGTTTTGTTGTGAAAGTAGAATGTGTTCTGATTCAGAGTCCTTCCTTGAGCAATCTCTACTTGTCTGTAAAACAAGACATGGGAAATGGAGAAATAAGAACCAATGACCAAAACACAAGTCACACAGGAAGCCTTGAAAGGGCAGGTCCTACCCAAATAAGGCTTCACAAGCCCACGGTTTGTGTGGGGATTCTAAATGGTGTGTAGCCACCTCCTTATGTGTGTGTCATATATCTCTAAAGGAAGGAATGAATCAGGAGCCTGTGGAATCACTCAAACACTACAATATGTTCTTTTGAACTCATTTTCCATCATGAAATCCCCATCTCTCTCTTCTAATATTCTCACCTAGTATTCCCATGGGTAATTTGAAAATAATTCAGGGAGAATTTTCCTGAAAGTATAGCCCAGGGTGAATGAAAATGTCAGATTGCGCATAGTTAGAAAACTAGATATATCTGGCAAAGTTGTCCCTCACAAATGACAGTGAAATTAGAACATTTCCTGCTAACCAGAAATTAAAGAATTTTGTAATGACCAGACCAACTTTAGAACATTTTCTAAAGGATATTTTTTGGACTGAGAATCAACAGCAGACCACAACGTGAAATTACCATATATGTCATCACCCAGAACTCAGTCTAGATATAGAAGTATTTACAATAAAACAAACCTACAAGATTGGAAATAGGGAACCAGAGATATCAATGTATAATAAAATCAACTACAAAGAAAAAAGAGGAAATAATGTAGATGCAGAACTTCCAAATGGCAAGGAGATCAAGTAGATTTCAAGATAAAACAGACTGTTTTAAATAGGGGGGGCTAATAATGAATTACAAAATAACCTGTAATTTGCCCTGAAAATTAATACATGACCACATCAAAATTTAAAAAGAAAAAACTCAGAAAGATTTAGTAAACATTAACACAACAGAAATTAAAATGAAATGAAAATCCACAATCAAAATGAACTCAGTGCAGAATAGTATGTGGAACAAAGAAACCAGCAGCACCACTAAAAACAAAACAAAACAAAAAGCAACAACAACAAAGAAAAACCAGAAAAATGACAACAATCAAGTCATACCTATCGATTATTACACTGAATGTAAATGGATTTAATGCACTAGTCAAGAGACAGCAGAATGGATAAGAAAATAAGATCCTTTAATATGTGGAAACACATCAAAAGCATGAAGTCAGCCTAAATGTCCATCCATGGAGGAATGGTTCAACAAACTTTGGTATATCCACACAATGGAATGCTACATAATGTTGAAGGATAAGAATGTATCTATGGACAACCTCACAACCTGGATGAACCTGAAGGACATTATGCTGAGTGAAATCAGTCAATCAGAAGAGGACAAATATTGTTGAACCCAATGTTGTAAAAAGTTAAGAAAAGATTTTCTTAATAAAAGAAACAATTTATGACGATTAATTGGGGAGGGAGGGAGGGAAATTAGTCACAGACTAGTGGGTACATTCATGTGAACATGGGTGACAGGGCAGGCAATGTACAATAAGAGAGAGATTAGCAGAGGAAAGATGAAGGTAACAGGAGACACAGGAAAGAATGTGATTGTTAACATGAATGAGGTAAATGTGGTTAAGTAATGGTACATGGAGGGGATTAGAAGCATAGTAATGAAACAAAATATATGATTTGCTGACTTTAAAACTGATGACCTCCTCTGTCAACCTTAACTCAATTCACTATAAAAAGCCAAAAAAGAAAGAAAGAAACTAGAGATCCAGGTTGTCTATATAACATTTGATACTATCTGCATGCTAAAGAGTTTGCAATAGTTGTTACAGAACAGAGGAAACCTGCTTTTCAGTGACCCAAATAAGAAAGGGAAGGTTACCACTTAGGTAAAAGATGCCATCTTTTCTGATCCTCTTAAATATGAAAGGTAGAGCAGGTCACCTCAAGAAAGAGAGTCAGTGACTAGGCTGTGTCACTGGGGAGTTTGTCCGCCTTGCTTATAAAGAAGCTCTCAGAACTTGCAACCAAATTTAGAGAGAGATAATATTTGGATAATATTTTGTTTCATTTTTGAGCAGAAAATAAAAGGCACTTTGATGCTGCACAATTTTGTCTGTGACAGAGTTCTGAACTACATAAAAAACAAAACAAAACAAAACAGAACTTGTGTTCTATTTTTAAGGGTTGTAGGAATAAGGTAATTTCCCTGAACTTTGGTTTAAAATTCCCCTACACCCATACTGTATTAGATGACAATCAGAAGGGTGCCAAATGAGTGCAATAGAAAACAGAGCCTCAAAAATTCATTACTGAGTAAAGAACTCAGACATACGGGTGTGTCAAAAATTATCCGCACTCTGACTGTGGAATTCACTTTAATCAACTTTCAGAAAAAACAAATTTTTTTGACATAATGTCTTTGATTGTCAATACATTTTGTCCATCTGGCAACAAGCTTTTGTATTCCCTTATTTTAAAAAAATAGTTTAGGATGAGCTGTGAGCCACGAATGCATCACTGTCTTCACTTCTTTATCAGAGGTGAATCTTCATTTTCAAAGGGCTGCTTTCAGGGGACCAAACAAATGAAAGTGTGATGGAGCAAGATCAGGACTATAAGGAGGATGCTTTAACACCTCAAAACTAAGTTTTTGCAGAGTCATCAGTGTGGGCAGAGGTGTGTGAACGTGCCTTGTCACGCAAGATCACAACACCTTTGGGTAGCAGTCCTCTGCATTGAATCCACAGTTTAGGCTTCAGTTCTTCAGTGAGCATCTCATTGTAATGAGCCCTGTTGATTCTTGGACATTTTTCCTGATAATGTTCCAATACTGGCCTTTGAGAATCCCAGAAAACTCTAATTTTCCAGCTGCTGGTTGACTTTTAAACCTTTTCGTGGTCGGTGATTAAACATGTTTCCATTCCATGCACTGCCATTTACCCTCAGGCTCATAGTGATGAATCCATGTTTCATCACCAGTAACAATTTTTTTTTAAAACTTTCACCCTCTTTCAAGTACCAACCCAAATTTGTTTACATATGTCCAAATGCTTCTGTTTATGCTTTTCTGTGAGTTGTTTTGGTACCCATTTTGCACAAACTTTTTGAAACCCAAGTCTGTCATGGATTATTTCATAGGCAGAGGCATGGCTGATTTGCAAATGATTTGCCACATAATACACTGTCACTCATCTGTTCAACAGAATTATTTCACATGCACTCTCAATGTTGTCATCAGCTATGGATGTGGCCGGTCACTTTAATATAACCGGAGTGTGGATAATTTATGACTCATCCTCACATAAACAACAGTTACAACAAAATGCAATAAAGGAAACTCTGAGGAAATATTTAAATTTTTATGAAAATAGAAAAGAAAATCAAAAAAAGGAAGGAAGAGATGGAAAATGGAAGAGAAAGGTAGGAAAGAAGTGATAGAGAAAGAAAAGAGGGAGGGAGGAAGGGAGAAAGAAAATTAGGAGAGAGAGAAAGAAAGAAGGAAGGAAGAAGCACCCACTGTGTATGGCATGGCCAAACACTCTTAAAAACCTCCCACCATTTGAGACCTCTGACCAAATCAATCAGTAAAATCTCTTTCTCTCTTTTTCCACACTCAACTCTCCATGTAAACTCTTCTCCTTACTCCTTTCTGTTATCTCTGGGCATTCTTGGAGTCATATCCTCTCAATTTCCCAAGATCTTTCTTTCCAGGTGTTTCCATATTTTTCTCAGAAAAAAATAACTCACTCCCAGTGACTTTTGTCATTTTCTAAAATTCTTCATCTCCAACAACATTTCAGTGCACACATACACACACACACACTTATGTTTCTAACAGGAGCTATTTTAATACTCATGAATTCATTATTTTTTCTTGTGGTAGAAACATGGCTCTGGGGAATCCAACTGGAGCATTTCATGAGTTGAATGTGTACAGATAAAATGAGTCAGAGTGGATCTGGGAGCCTGTAGCAGGTAGGAGAGAGTTAAAACTACCAAAGAATATTTGCAGATTGTGAAGACAGAGCAAACTAGGTCCCTTGAAGAATATCAGTATTTGAGGGCAGGAGGTCAGAGTCAATAGAATATTAAGATTGATAAGCCTGAAAGGCAGAAAAAGGCAGAATACTGCTGCATCTAAAGATAAAGTTTTAATGAGAGACTAGATGTTCCTGTCAGAAGCTACCAGTGAGTCAGGCACAATAAGAACAGAACAGTATCAGTTCATTTGGTAACCAAGAGAGCAGTTCATGCAATTGTAGATGAGATGATGGAAAACTGTGTGGTGAAAAGGAATAAGGGGAACTTTGTGAAGTACCTTTCTTCCCAAAAGATACACTGTGAAAACAAGACACAGGACTAGAAAAGGGCTGTTTCTGTGTTTGATCATTTGTTGAAGATGGGTGAACTGGTGTGGTGCTGTGGGTTAATGTGCTAGATAGCAAACTCAGTTTGAACTGCAAGGTTGGTGGTTCAGGCTCACCAGTCACTTCTTGGAAACCCTCTAGAGGGTCGCTATGGGTCAGAACCAACAACAGCACTTAACAAGAACAACAACACATGGTGAGAAGAGTGAAGCAGAAAGGCGGTAGGATTTAAATAGATGTGATCATTCGCAGAGGATTTCTCAGAGGAAATAGGAAGAGATGGAAAGACTAATCTTACGCAGAGACAGGGCAGAGCCACGCAAGGTGAGAAGGTTTCTCCAAACCAATTTGCTTGCATAGGGGCAGGAAGTATAGGTGTTTCTACTTAACTGCATCCATGAACCTCTGCGCAGAGGGAGTGCATGCAGAGAGAAGAAGCAACTGTATGAATTAGTGGAAAACTTTGGGCAGTGCTGGGACAAAAAAGAGACTAGAGACATGTGAGACTACATGATTTATTTCCACTGGTGGCTGTGCCTACTTGTGAAGACTATTATCAAAGAACCAGGAAGAATAAACAATTTCCTTTTAAGATTTGGTCT